ACTTGGCTTTCATATCTGCTTCCCACTCTGTTTCTCTCCACATTCCTTGAAGAGCATGAGAAGGGAAGAAAATAATAAACGGTCCATTTGGATTTATTTTTGGTGTCCATCTCTCAGAACTTGCAGCATAGATCAGCAGTTTTCAGGGCGAATTATGCTAATGGCCGCCCAGGCATCTTCCACTCTTCTCTTTCCCTGAGAATGAGAAATAACGAACTGTCACCCTCTTGTCTAGACACTCGGACCAGCCTCCAGTGTCATTTCCTCAGGAGCCGAGTAATAGTAGCGCGTATCATCGCTGTGAATTGAGCTCCTCTTCTTATTTTTTTATTTTTTGGAAATTTTATTTTATAATAATTGCCAGGGTGAGGAAGCTTCTCTTTCTCAGGGAAATAAAAGCTGTCTAATTGATTCTGCAGCTTGGCAGCCTTCCTTGAAGAGAAATGTGTTTGTGTTAGGCTCCTGCCAATGGGTCACTAGTTGGGGGTGGGGAGCCATCAGATGTAATTCACGGAGGACACTTTTTCATAGTTGGCCCCGCCAGGCTCATTCCTGGGAAACTGCAGCTCTGAACTCTGAGACCACACTTTGAAGTCCCTGCTCGGTCACTCTCGCTGCTTCTGATCCCAGGTCTCCTCCTGAATTAAAGGACACATTTTCCTCTTTCTCCTTTCCCCTCTCCCTTCCCTTTTATTGTACGGGGATATTAATATGCTCCATAATGGATAGCTGTAGGGGTTTTTCTCTGAGAGACATGACAAGTTAGAATGTTCTAGAATAGAAGTATAAGGAGCCAGCTTTCCCCTTTATATTAACTCCTTAGTGACTTTGAAACTGTCCCTTCCATGACCATTCCTTCCCAGAAATCTTGTGGGATTCCTCTTCAGACCCTTGAAAACCATGGATGTTTTAAACTGTAACCACCTCTTTCCTCCCCCTCCCTGAAATACTTAGTCATTTGCCCCCCCCTTAAAATAAATATGGGTCTTTGCCTTTTACCTTAGAGAAACCTCTTGGGGGAAATGAAAAGCTGCTCTCTTTTTTTCTGCCACAAAGAAAGATGAACATAAAAGAAATTCTATAAATAGGATTTTGTGGAGTGTAAAAAGTTGGTCCCTAAATTTCCCATGAGACGTAGGCAGTTAGAGGAAATGGGATGATCATTTCAAAGCTTCCTACACGCTCAGGCTCCTAATGAACTTGAATGATTTGTGATTCTCTCCCATCATATGTACTCAGATTTCCTCCCATTCTGAAAAAAGAAGAAAACAACAAGAAATGCACAAAAATCGTCACTTTCAGCTGTTTCTTCACCACTAGGCAAGGCTTCGCTTGTCATTGGCTTCTTCTTTCTCCACATGTGCCCGGCACAGAGATCAACAGCTGAGCCCTGCTGGTGGGTGGCCTCGACCCCCCTCAGACAAATGAGAACTTCTGTGGCATGCTCAAGAACAGGCAACAGCCGGGTGATGTGGGCGCACGCCTTTAATCCCAGCACTTGGGAGACAGAGCCAGGTGGATCTCTGTGAGTTCGAGGCCAGCCTGGTCTACAGAGCGAGGTCCAGGACAGGCACCAAAACTACACAGAGAAACCCTGTCTCGGAAAAAAACAAAAACAAACAAACAAACAAACAAAAAAGAACAGGCAACAAAGCCAAGGTCCTAATCCTTCATTCCTGTTCTAGAAAATTTCTAGCTTCGCTCATACCCTATTTCCCAGAGTGCTCTTCCCCTAAAGAATTGACTCTCCCACCTGTTCATTGGATGAGGTTGTCCCAGGGCATAAGGGGAGGAGATTGTGCTCCATGATCAGAACTACCTGGCCATCACACTCCATCTCCTGCATGGAACCCTCTGAGAGCTGTGTCACCCTGGGCCCTGAATACTGCTGACCTCCATGGCGGAAGATGAGTTCTGTATTCAGTGGCTAGATGGATGAAAAGCCTTATTCCAAAGACTTGATGTTAGCCTCTATTTGAGCTCACTGAGAATGTCTGGTAGCCAAAGGACAAACCCAAAAGCCCCTGCCTTCCTGGTTTTCTCCCAGAAGCCTTCTGTCCCCAAACTTTCCAGCAGGTGTCCAGCCCTTTGGTCACTAGATGATGGAGACTTTGTATCTTGATCCTAGGCTCCTCCTGGGACCCTGAGCTGGGCCACCTCCCCACAGCTCCCGAACCTTCTCCTCTGTCTCCAAGGGGAGATGGGATACAGACCTGTGTGACCTTGGGCAAATCCTGACCCTCTATACCCCACTGAAATGGGACTGGGGACCCCTCCCTCACATATGCTTACACAGATTCTGAGACCTCAGAAAGGAAATGACCTTGCAGATGGATATGGTGCCCAAGAAATACCTAAAGAATCCAAATCTCTTTAAGCATTCCCCGTCTGCTGCAGCCGACATGGATGGTGCTCCACTCTGACTGCAGACGACGTCGTAGTCAACTGTATTTGGCAGTATTGCTGGGCAGGATGAGTTACCTGGGAAAGGGGATAAATGGAGAATTCTCCCTGGTAAATTATGGCTTCTGCTAAAGGTTTGACACTTCTATTTTCTTCCTGTCAGGAAAAAGAAATAACTATATACCAGGGGTCAGTTCAGTTTCTGTTTTTATCCTTCATTAACCCATAGAGCAGGCCAGGCAGCACTCCATCCTACCAGGGAGCAGGTAGTCCTAAGAACACTGACCATTAGGGAAAGGTGATGGGCTTTTCTCAATGAAGCTTTGGAAATGTGCAGCATACACTGACAGCCTGGCTCGAGAGACTGGAGTATTGTCCCTAGCAGAACCCAGTAGAGATAGCCACCTCTGTGACGGGTGACGTGAAAAGCTCGGCGTCCACTGACATGTTTTACTGAGACTCAGTAACTGTGCACTGACATGCTTTGAAGTCTGCCATGGAGCCTTGTGATTGAAATATGAAACAGGATGTGAGTTGTCGGTCTGGAAAATGCAGACGGGTGGGAAGAAACGAGAGGAAGGAGGGGCAATGGCCTCATCGAGGCACCATGCTGGGCATGCTCACAGCCACCATAGTTAAGGAGTGGACCTGAATTTGGACAGGGGCCTCTGGGTGCCAATCATGCTTGCCAATCAAAGCTTCACCTGCCTGGTGCCTATGGGAACTGTTCACACAGGGACAATGACAAATGGCAGACAGACAAGCACTTTATCACCAGCTGGGGTCACGGATGTGATGCATTAAAGCTGTCCAAAAGTGTTGGCTGTAGCTCTGACACCCCGACAGCTGGCCCAGAGTCCAGCCTTCAGGATTCCTAGGCAAAACCCACCTCCCAGAATGATCACGTCCAGAGTGGGGAGGGAGAAGCGGACAAGCCAATGGCTGCCCTAGGCTCTCTTGACCTAGGTTTCAATACCTCAAAAGATCAGTGAAAGTTTGGTCTGATGGCCTGAGAGGAAAAGGGGAGTGAGAGGAGATGAGGACTGGGGATGCCACGAGTCTCCCGGGCATCACTCAAGTCCCCACGGACACTCACTGTCTCAGCAGCCATGTGGGCAGGTGCTGTCTTCATCCTAGAGATCAGGAAACAAAGATGTGGAGAGAGGCTTAAGAAAACTACCCACAATCAAGCATCTAAATGCTGTTTACCCACCTCCGTGGCTTAGACAGGATCGCTGCCGACATCAGACTTAAATCTCGTTCGTTTGGCTTCCCCGCATGTGAGCAGAAGGAGCACCAGAAGCATCCACACCCCCTGGCTCCAGCTGACCAGGAACAAGCATGCAGCCCAGGGTAGGAGGGCTCTCCTGTGGCGTGGGCCCAGCCTCTACTTTCTGCTCTGCGTGTCGGGGCCTGTACAAAGCCGTCAGGGTGACAGAAGTGAAGTGGGGCACAGCAAGCCTCTTGTCCTCGTGTTTGGCCTCAGGGACTCATCTGGTGAGATCCGGGAGGAATGGCTCCCAGGCCAGTGGTGACTTGAGCCACTTCAGTGGTGAGTGGTCATTGCCAGGCCACGTGACCGTGGCACCAATGGCTGCCTGCACTGGCGGGAGAGGGCAATACTCACATCCGGAAATAGTCGTAAGAAGATGAACACACGTAAGGAGGAGTATCTCTAGACTGTGGAGTTCCTCGGCTGGGGTGTAGATCAGCTGGTGGAATGCTTGCCTAGCATGCCTGAGGCTCTGGGTTCCACCCCAGTGCCACCTGAAAAACAGGTGTAGTGGTGCGCACCTGTAATCCCAGCACTCGGGAGGTGGAGACAGGAGGATCATCCTCAGCCACATAGCAAGTTTGAGGCCAGCCTGGGCTATGTGAGTCCCTACTGCAGTAATAATAATAATAATAATAATAATAATAATAATAATAATAATAGTGCAAAGATAGAGTCCTGGCCTCCTTTGGGAGTGGGCGGGGTCTTGAAGGCTGTATGAGGTGCAGCTGACAGGAGGAAAACACTGAAACAGGTAGGCCAGAAAGGGGAGTGGCTTGCCCAGGTTCTCAGTGGCAGAGCCAGGATTTGGCTCAAGCATGGCTATCTTCACAGTCTTGCTCTCAACAGGCCATTCATTAGCTCCTAACTAAAGCCATAGTCTCCAATCCCCAGTTCTCACTTGCAGCCTTCTCCCCACTGTTCCTCTGCTGGCCTCCAAGAATTCTGGGGAGAAAAACATGGCCTGAGCAAAGACACATTCTCCAGTGGAGCAGCTCCAGCGCTTTAAACAACAGTCTGGAGGCTGGGAGGCCAGTGCTGAAGCCCTGGCAGCAAGGTGGCTGCTAGGGCTCATTCCTGGCTTGTTGCGTCTGCTTTCTCTGTGGTGAGGAGCAGGGAAGCAAGCAAGCTCTCCTCTCCTTAGTGTCTTCATACAAGGACACTAATTGATCTGCTAGGGCCCCACCAACATGGCCTCTTAAGCTCCAAAGACCCCACCTGTGGGTTTCATGGGGGTACAAATGTTCAGTCTCCATAGGCTTGAGGGAGAAAGAGCCAGACGTTTGCACCGTAGAACGACACGTTTTCTTTGCTGTTGCGGCAGGAACTGCAAGCTGAGCAGCAGCAGCCTGTCCATGGCTGCAGTGGACATCCTCTACATCGACATCACAAGGAGGTGGAACTCCGTGACCCTGGACCAGCGGGACTCAGGTACCTGATGGCTGCCTCCACATCCCATGGGCCCTTGCCTGACAGGTGTGGGGAGGGGTCTGTGTATCTTCTGTCCTTTCATATTATGGAGGTGAGAAGGAAGATGAATTGAGTGGAATTGGCCCTGAGGCATTGTCTTCTACCATGGTTGTGCAACCCCTCCCCAAATTCCAGTCCCACCATTAGCTTAAGGCTTTGACTCCATCACTACTGGAGGTAGACTGCTGTTCATTTATTTGTTTGTGGCCCTGCATACATTTGCTGAGCACACAGTGGCTAGGCCTTGGGTAGACTGGAGAGCTTGGTTCTTGCCTGGAAGGAACTCTGTGGGGTTGAGACACGTGAAAAATGGTACTAACATAGTGGGAGTTGGGGTGGACTAGGATGGGGATGTTCCTCCTCCCAAGAGGAGCCCACTGGATACACCAGTAACGAAGGTGAGGATGGGTCTGAGCAGGAATGTAGGCCTGTCTACGCACGAACACGTAAAAAGACCATTAAGCCTAGGCTACCACAACTAGCTCCAATGGAGGAGAACAAAATGGGCAAGGAGATGGGGTTGTGGTAAACTTTAAATACCACACCAAAGACTTCAACTGTGGTAGCCCATGCTTTGATCTTTGTTTTCTTTTTGATTCTTCTGCTAGGAGAATCTACCTCTGAGTGGGTAAGGTTCCTATCTCTGTCCTCCAAGCAGTCTAATAACCATAACTGACATTTGTACAGTTCATCACAAAACTGCAAAGATTCTCTCATTAAGTGTCCCATGACCCAGCACAGAAGGTATCAGGAGCCTCATTTCACAAACAGTAAACTGTAACTCTAGTGACTGAAGTTGTGCCGTGACCATGATCCGGGTACGCACTGGCACCATCCTCCCCTGCCCTCTGCACCCCCACCTAAACACACGGAGGCCACACCTGCCAGGGTGTCTTGCTCCTCCTGTGAGTGGTGGAGAGGATGTGAAGTCAGAAGCTACAAGATCTAGATGAGAAGTGGTGTGCCGTCTCTTGCCAACATCAGCCCCAAAGCCATGTCGCCTCCTGCTCTGGAGTTCCTCATCTGTATATATATATGTGCTCTGAATGGCCCTGAAGGCTCACACATCAGTGGCTACTAATGCCTTTGGGGTCACTGCCAACCATTCAAGGTGGTTAACCTTATCAGTGGGTTCTTTCCTGTTTTACTGCTGGGGGAGACTCTCAGGAGAGGCTGTGTGACCACCGTTGACAGCTGGGGCAAATCTGTCCCAGTGTGGGCTAGAAATGCCAACCACGAGGACACAGCCAACCCATCCTGCAAAACGCTGACACTCAGAAATCATTTGAGGTTAGCTTCATGTTTGATCGTGATGCCACCTCATACCACTCTGTTGGCTGTCGCCTCTGTGCCACACGCTTTACGTGGGTGGCACCGGCTACAATTCCGGAGTCAGGTCTAACTGTGTCCATTGTACAGAGGAGGAAATTGAGTCTCAGAGGCACAAATGATAAAATAATACTCAACCACAAGCCCACCTGGGCTTCCTGTCTGGGTCACTTCCTCCTACCCATTGCTGGCGTGGCGGTAAGATGGCCAGATTGCCTGCTGCCCGGCTTAATTCAAAAGCCAAAGTCAGGGAATGCTAGCAGTCATTGAATCAACAAAGTGAGCTTACATCTTCAGCTGACAGGGCCTTCCAGCCTCCCCAGCGTGAGAGGAGGAGGGCACACCTGCAGGGGGACATGGAGGCAGGTTAATTATCATTTCGAGGACCAAGCGAGCCCATGTGACAGTTGAGCTGTGACACGTTTTGCTGACATCCTCAGAAAGGGAGAAGTGCTTGGTCGGCGAGCTGAAAGCTGGGTGTCATCGCGGGATCCTGTGTAGGGGGCCCGATGAGGGAGTGGGGGTGGCAATGGAATTATTAAATATTGAAATTGATCAGGAGTCTCAGCAGGAAGCTATTTATCATGTTCTATTGCTTCCAACCAGCATGGCCATCTGGCCCATTGTTCATCCCGAATAGCTTTGCATGTTTTGTTTGCTCCTAAAATCGCTCCCTGTAAGCAGAATCCATAGGGGGCAGGGAGGGGGCTGTCCACAGTATCTGCTCTGCAAAGGGTTTCTGGGGTCTGCCAGGGTCTCTACTTTGCTGACCAGGCCAAGAAAAGGAGAAATATTCTTCTATTTACCATAGCTGAAGCTTGGCCTGGGCTCCCCGGGACTTCCGCAATCCCTCTGTGCCTGAAGGTGTAGAGCAGTAACTATAGGTCTTGCAGGACTTTTAGACTTCACGCAGGCATTTATTGTGGTTTATTCTTGTAGCTTTGATATGCGAGATCACACCTCATTTTGCAGTTGAGGATCCTAAGTTTCCAAGAGTAGAAGGGACTTGTTTATAGCCTCATAGGCAATTAGTGGCAAAGGCAAGATTTGAACGCAGGCCTCAGCTGCCTGGCCCCAGGTACTGTCTCTAATCTAGAACCACCCCAGGAAGTGTCTGTCCCCTGTACAACTGGGGAGGAGACTGGGCTTGTGTGGCAGGACTCAGGCGATTCAGAGGCAGAGAGCTGAGCTCACAATGACACTGTGTGTTTCAAAGAGCTGGAGAGAGAATTATGAGGACCCCAGGACAGAGACATGATGGGTAATTAAGATGATGGGTATGCTAATTAGCAGGATATGATGTCCCGTGTGCTCACATGGACTGAACAGCACACTGTGTTCCATGAATACATGTAAATATTATATATCCACAACATTTCCTTTCGAAGAGTCACTTTGCCCAGCACAGAACCCGTGGGGACATAACCAGAGTGTGTAGGTTGTGGAGTCTTGTCCAAGCTCCCACCTCCCCTCCCCTTGTCTTTGGAGTGAATTTTCCTGTTTCCGTTGTTGCTGAAAAGAAATGTCAGCGGCTGGGGGCCTAGGAAGTGGGTTGGGTATTAAAGTCAAGAATGGAAGCCATTCTGTTATCCCAGCCATTGTTGCCTCCTTTGAGACCTTCCCCCACCCCACCCCAACTCTCAGCAGGAAAGAGCATCTAAAGCCAGCTGCCTTACAAGGACCATTCAAGACACTCCCAGAGAACAGCAGGAATCTGTGCCTGGGTGTGGTTCTTGCTTTTGGCATGAAGCAGCAGAAATACCAGGGAGGGAGGGGGGAGTCCTTCTGTCCCCACTTCCTCCCTCAGTCTCTCCCTTCCTTCTCCCTCCCTCCTTCTCTCCCTCCTTCCCATCTTTCCATCTCTTCTCTTCTTTCCTCTTCCCTTCCTGGTATGGAGCCAAGGGATCTTCAGCCCTCCACTCCAGTTCTGGCCAGGGTGTCTGCGTATGTCTGTATCTGTCTGTGTAGGTGTCTATGTCTCTGTGTCTGTCTGTGTGTCCCAACTAGTATTTAAATAAGTTGACAAACTGAAATTAAGGTCACCACATACTCAAAACAGGGAGTTCTGGGTGGGAAAGTCACAGCCCGTAGAAGCGTGGCCTCGTTGGCGGGGTCTTGCTTCCCACTTCTGAATGCCCAGTGTGATACACCAGCCCGGCGGCACAGGCTTGCCGTCCACCCAGCAGCAGCTGTGGCAAAGTGCTGTGGGACCCTCCCTTTTCCCAGAGCCCGCCCAGACCTAATGAGACTGTCCTCAAGAGAAAGGGTAACCCAGCCACATCACAGTTGACAAGTGAGAGCGTGTGAACAAAGGCAGCCTGTGTTTGGGGACTTTTCCACCGATATGGAGGAGAAAACTAGTGCTGGAAACACGGGTTAAGAAGAAGTCAAACGCAGTCAGAAAGAGCACTCACACCAAGAGATGTAGTCGCTCTCAAGCCATCCTCTCCAGCAGCCTTGGTCCTGACCATGGACTTTGTTTCCTGGTGGGCCTCCCGTGTGTGGAAGTGGCTTCCACAGTATCCTTGGGTACTGAATCACTTCCACCACGTCCATGCCCGAGCTGTTTTACTGAGCCTTTGTAACAGGTGTTAGCACCTGTGTGTGGGTGTGTGGTGTGTGTCTGGGGGGAGGGGTATGTGCACACCTGTGACTGTGGAGAGCAAAGGACAACTTCAGCTGTCGTTCCTCAGGTAGCATCCACCTTGATTTTCAAAATGGGGTCTCTCATTTGCCTGGTTCTCACTGAGTAGACTAGGCTAGCTGACGGGGGTGGAGGCGTGGGGGGGGGTGTGGGGGCCCGGGGAGGAGGGCAGGTATCCACCAGTCTCCTCCTCCCCAGCACTGGGATTGCAAGTGTGTGCCACACCTGGGAGGTTCTTCGTTTGTTTGTTTGTTTGTTTGTTTGAGACCATGCTCGAAAAGTGAGCATTTTACCGTCTAAGCTCTCGCTCCAGCCCTGAAATTAGGTACTTTTAGTAATGGAATGAGCACCCAGAAGACTTCACCCAAAACAAAAGCTAGACCTTCACAGTCACAGCCTCCCACATGTGGCTCCCCACCTTGGCCTGTTCCCCTCCTCCCCCTCGGGAGCCCTTGTCTGTACCCTGGATAATCTCTCAAGCCTGCTCAGGAGCTTGAGGGAACTTAACAAACGCATCCCACTCTCCAGCACCCCAGTGTAACTGTCATATTTTTCCCCAAAATTAAGAATTTTTATTTCCATCCTTAGAATTTCTAGCAGAACACAAGTCTAAATGAGGGTGTTATCAGCAAAACTGGAATGCCACAGCCCTCTCCTGGGCTGGAACCAAATGAGGAAACCAGTCTGTGGGCAGAGATGCAGTGATTTCACATAAATCACACTCACAACTTATCCAAGACTTTGCTCTCTGCTCCTGCCAGACTCTACCAGCCCATCTCTGTGTGAGAGATGAGGACCGCATCCCGATTAGACAATAAACCTGTCCTTGTCGCTGGTGCCACAGTCACCTGTATGGGGGCACTTGGTCCCAGCAGCAGGCATCACCCTCTAACAGTCGACACTTGGGGGCTCTGGATCATCTGTTTTCTTTGCAGCTAGGTGTTTTCCTGTTTGAGAAGGGAGCTGGGCCAGGTCTGGCAGCACACAC